TCAGGCTTATTAAGGATACAGGCAGGAAGACGATGGTGAGTGAAACCATCACTGAAAAGCATGGAACGCTAACAACCTCCCAGGATAGGTGGTTAGATTTTTGTACAGAATACTTTGAAGCACAGTTCAACCGGCTCTAAGTAACGCTTCAGTCACCCAACATCCAGACTAAACCTGAATGGGACGTAGATGTCGGTCCTCCAGCTCTCCTTGAAGGTGATAAAGCTATATCGAACCCGGAAACGATACAAATTAGCAGGGCCTGACAGTCTGCTACACAAAGTTTTCAAGGATAGAAGCAGCGAATTGTTAACTAAACTGATGGAGGTACTAGGCAGTGGTATGGGAATCAGAGGTAGTACCATCAGACTGGCCTACTTCATTGATCATCACAGTTTATAAGGAGAGAAGTAGTCTTATGACAACCATAGGGGAATTAGTTTGACTAGTATTGTTTCCAAGGTCCTAGGGTCCATAGTTATCCTATGCCTAACTGGAGCTCGAGAACAGCAAACTCGAGAAAACTAGGCAAGTTTCAGATATGGACGAGGGTGTATCGATCATAATTTCCCTCTATGACAGGTTTCGGAACACAGCCATACTTACCGGCAGCCAATACTTGCCAAATTTCTTGGTCTGAAGGCAGCATTCAACTCTGTAGATCGTGAGGTGTTGTGGCAGTGTTTGACCGTGAACGGAGTACCGAGCAAGCATATAACGCTAATCAAAGCTCTCTCTTCAAACTGACGCAGCCGTTTCAGGGCTCATGGAGAGTTGTCGTGTGAATTGTCAACGACTAGTGGTGTACGCCACGGATGTCCACTGTCACCGTTCCTACTTAACTTCGTTATGGACATACTAATAGACATAACCATAGGTACGGCTGACTTCACAGCGAATGGCCTACTCCTCGGAGGTGATCTGATTAACTTAGAGTATGCAGACGACATTGTCCTGCTAGGTGAAGACGCTGACAAAATGCAGGGTCTTTTGAAAGCGTTGAACAGAAATCTGAGTATGTTTGCCATGCATTTCTCTGAGACCTGTCAAATGTAAGATGATGCTCCAGAACTGGTCTGCTGCAAGCACTCCAAGTTTCATGATAGGAAGTGAAGTGGTGGAATGTGTCGACCACTTCACTTACTTAGGGAGTTGCGTCGGCCCTAAAAGGCTTATTGCTGATGAAATCTCAGGTAGGATACAAAAACCCGTTTGGCATTTGCTAACTTACATTAGCTATGGCGCCGACTGGCGAAATATTCGAGTATCTATCAAAGGACGAGTAACTATGCTGCAGTCGGTTCGGTCCTGTTATACGGCTGAGACAATGCCGCTAAAAGTAGAAGACATGAAGTCATTATAGGATTCTGATTACAGATATTTTCGTAGCACTGCTGGCGTTTGGTGGGTTCGCCATGTGAGCACTATTGAGGTCAGGTGAAAGTTACTAGGTAAGTCGATTGATGAGGTTGTGAACCTGAATCGGCTGAAGTGACTCGAACATGTGTTGCACATACCAAGCCACCGCCTACCTCGACGTGCTAGGTAAAGCTGAATCAGCCTGAAAGAGAGTTCAGGGTGACCAGACCAAGACGTCGCACCAGTCGAAGTCCCTGACTGTTGGTCTCAGTCACATGCGGAGATGTAGACTATCTGGTAGGGGTCTCCGAGATTATAGGAACCAGTGGTTAAGAACTATGGGTGACAGCTGAAAATCGGTCATAATGGCGCATACATATTCGCTCCTTAACATCTAAAGATTAAATGTTCGTAATAACCTTTTTCTTAAAATTGTTTATTCTTTCTCGCAACTATGTCTGATATTACTCTTATTCTATCCACTTGTTCTTTGTATACTGCTTTGAAGTGTAGCAACTTCAGCCGAAGAACCTGTGTGAGGTTCTACACTGATTCTGCCTGCCTGCACTCATTCACTCCACTTTCTATTGTTAAATAAAGCAACAGCGAAGACCAGTTCAGAAGGGAAATTTTGCATTTTGGTGGTGCGAAACACATCACAAACAATCTCAAATTGTCACTCAAGGTGTCTGGGAGACTCAGCATTTCGTCAGCGTCTTAAGCTAAAACGACTATTTAGTCTGAGTGTTTTGGGCCCACTAAAGACCCTTCTGTGGTAAGATCAATCCCTTTAAAGTGAAACAATAAGAGGGAGACCTCCATAAGTACGTCTGTGATCAAGATGAATAAGAATGGACTGAGTGCATATCATTGACGGACACTATTCGATATACACAACTCACCTGAAAACCCATCATAGGCTCTGACATCCCCACAGACTTTCCGATAAACAATCTTCAACATAGTAACGCACCTACTCGGTACCCCATTCAGAGACACTGTGGTAAGACCTCTTTATTGATGAAGTCGAATGCCGCTTTCAGATCAAGAAATACAGCCATCGGTGGGCGTAGATGTGTGCCGGTTTCCGAACCTATTGCAGTGAGTATCTGGTTATTACACCAATGACTGAGCCTCAAGACTGTCTGGTTTTCTCGGGTTTGCTGCTTCTGAGCTCCACTCAGATGCCTGATCATAAAAGAACCCAGAATCTTGGACACCTTTCATTCGGCTGATTCCCTGGAATTCTCTGTTTTTTAAAGACTGGCAGTCAGAGATTAAGACGTCAGAGGTGATTATATTTAACTCTCATGCACTAGCTAACGCTTCAGTTAACCACCGTCATTAAATACCGCTGAAACTAATCGGTTTGGAGCCGCTACGTTTCAGATTACTTACAGCTTTGTCGACTTCTGCAAATGTTAGAGGTCCTACCTCAGTGTTCCATTCAGGATCCAACTGGATAGTGGGTAACGGAATATTAACTGGAGACCAGTTGCACTGTTCATCGAGGGATTCCACCCATTGTTCCGGTCGTCTCCCCTGAAAAAGAATCACAGACTTACCATTCTCTATTATAGTCTAGCTAACCACGCTGCAGTTTCCTTGATAACTAGATAACTACCCACTGTTACCTATCCCTGCTGCTTTTTCGACTTATTCAGCCTGTGCTATCCACAACTGTTCGGGGTCATTGTGAAGACTTCATGTCAATCTATGTTTGAATTGCCTACTCTCCCCATTGTGCTTGGAGTCTGCGGGGATGTGGTCGCGGGCACCCATTAAATTAGTAGAAACTCCTGAGATCCACTGACGCTTTTTAATCACTCTTTGAGAGTCAGTGACGGTCTTTAAAAATTTCCACAGCTGAATATAGGTAATGTCATGCTTCTTCTTGATGTTTTTTCTGTTCCGATGACTGTTTAGTCATTTTCTCGCTGAAAGCAGTCTTATTATCTACATTCTCAAGCGGCACTTCCACTGGTCTTGTTACCGTAGTTTCTCACATCCATTCAGTTACAGACACATGCTTGAATCAACGTTTGATCGCTATCTAAGCACGTGTTCCAGCGATATCTGGTAGAAATATGGTTTATCTGTGTCCACAACATCAGATAATGTCGCTTATGTTTGAAGTTCGTGCGGGTCAGAAATAGCTGTCACAGTTGTAGAAAGCAATCCTCTTTATCTGTTCGTTTGGCTGAAATTCCTAAAACACCACTTAAATGACTTTTCAGCCGACAGCCTATCAACTTGTGCAATGAAATCACCTGCTACAAACACCACATCCGAACGTTTGGTTTTCGGTAGGAGGCTAGACAGCTTTTAGCAGAACTCATCCTTCACTTCACGCACTCAATGAGTGCGTGAGCAGAGATTACAAAGAAACAGCAGCGAGCTTCATTATGCCTCTTAGTCCCCACTTTGATCTTCACCCACATAGCACATAAACGACTGCTGAGATCCAGTCGAACAGTGCACTTAGTGGCTCAGAGCTTGATGCGGTTCCGACACCTGCAAGACCGAGAGAACTACCTATCGAATGTTCAGGAAGTCGAAGGATGAATTTGGAAAACTCACTACACTGACCTAGTGAAGTCAAGTGATTAACCACACCTGGGTTTTATATGCCTGTCTCACAAACACAACACATATCCATGGCCTCAGATGTTAGTTTTGGCTAGTGAAGCTTGTTGATCGATTTTACGGAGAATGCGGACATTGGAAGCTCCAATGTATGGTTGCGAGCGCGGTTTCAGAGGACTCAGGTCGTTGCCAAGAGGTACAGAGCTGAAAGGAATGCCTGGTCCTATGCTGATTTTGATGATTATGAGGAGGAGGTAAGGATATGAAACGCTGGTACACGAGGGCACTTGAGTGCTGACAGATTTGTGACAGCGGTTGACAAATTCCCAGCTGAACACATCATGGAGCGCTATTTCTTTTTAAGGTTACTGCGCAATTTCAGAGCCCAAGGGACATAAGCTTGAGGCCGGTCTTACATTGGTTTTATTTTTCATCCTAACTATGAACCAACACTGCCGGTATCGAAATATTACACGGTAGAATAGAGCGTGCTTTCTTAAGTGCCAATCTATTTTAACTACTTTACTACGGGGAAAACAGCACTAGCGTGAGACTGCTAGTCACCCCTAGGAAACACTTTACTGCCGTCACAATCCCGTCCAGCAAGCGGTATGACTTCACGCCTGAACCCGTCACAGCATAGCAACTCACACTACGAAGGTGACTGCTTTTTGTCTTACCAATATCCAACAAATCTTCTTGTTATGGTGAGAGAGTAGTAGCTATCAGATGGGTCCTAATTAGGACCTCTTTTCGCGGGAAACTCGGGGAAACAGCTTATAAGCCGTTAACGGTAAGTCCAAAACGAGTTTCATTATGGTGGCATCTGCACCAGTGGTATTCTCGGAAACAAGACAGTGGAACTTCATATGAAAAAACTAGTATATGTCCAACTACGTCCTTAAAAAGAAATAATGAAAAGTCAACCAGGACAGCTTAAATGAGACTGTCAGCTAGGATGGATTCGAAAAATGAGTACGGTTATGCTTAAAAAACATGGAAAAGTTAGAACAAAGCTTTTACAATTGCAGAATAATAAGACCCTCTACACTCACACCTAACAAGATAGCGCAATTAGTCGAAACCGCCTCCTTGCAATCCTTTCATCTCACATACTTGAAGGTTGGATAGTAGCCTTTAGTATTAAGAAAAGTAAGTCAAGTAGCCTATGCTAACCCAGTTTTTTGAATATGTTCAACGAAGGAGCTGATACCGCCTGTTATTGTAAGGAGTTCTAACCGCTGATTACCCTGTGTGAGTAACGTATGCTCTCACTAAGTTGATCTGATCATGATTTATAAGTTTGCTTGTGGTGGCTCTGAGGATGACCAACCCTCTAGGGGGAGAAGAAATAAGGTATACAAATCTCAAGTTTGTCATTGATAATCCGGAATACTAATAATAGGGTTCGCTCTTCTCTTAAGATAAGACAATGAAGAAAGACAAAGTCTCGCTAATCGATCCCTGCATAATACGTTAGACAGACAAGCCAACAACTTATTGGTAAGTCTTCGAAAGCTTTTTAGTGCTTCAACATCTTTTATGAAGCAGTATTTGAGATGGGGCCGAAGAAAAATGGGGTGCAATATCCAAAACATATCTTCATCGAAACATCTGACTGCTTGCAGAAGAGATCACAATACTCATAAACACTTCAATGTGGCCTCAGTGCAGTTAGCAGACGTTTTCAAGTTGTGGTGGATTATGATGCCCTTTCCCTTAATTTTTGAATATCAGGTGCCATCTGTCAGATATTGGTGACGGCCGCCATTACTAATTTGCACAGCTGCCTATGTAATGGAACTGACTTACATACACCAACCTTTGAACCATTTGACCGGTACATTCAAGTCTGTTTGTAGTGAAAATCTGTCATCATTGTTACAAATAACTCTAAGTATTTCCACACAGCCGAAAAATGATGGTGACTTAATCACTTTCGGGAGTTCATTGACGTAAAGCAGGAAAATGAGGAGACTTAAGACTGCTTTTTGAGAGTACCCACCCCTTGTAGGTTGTCACTTAGATCGTATCCATTTCGCCCTCACATTTTATCCCTTATCTCATAGAAATTCTGATCCAGGTCAAACCCAAAATTTGAGAGATTCTTCGTTAACTCAGTGTGTGAAGCCTTCTCAAAAGACCGGTTGAAGCCAATCAACACAACGTCTACGAACACCGTGTTGTCCCGAGCTGCTACCTAATTCTCCTTTGCTAAGAGGAGATCAGTCGAGCTAGATTCATAGGTATGGGCTCCATGTCCCGGAGACTCCAGAAAACCAAGATTTTTGACATGGTCGGGCATACCATCCTTGATAATCGTGCTTGGTACTTGGAAGGTTGCACCAATCAAGCTAACAAGACGATAGCTTTAGGCTAGTTGCCTACCGTCTGCTATGGAAACTGAGCTGAGCACAGTTTCCGTCAAGTCTCGTGGGAGCCGGGTTTAACAGAAATACACTAAATAGTTCGGCAACCAGTCTGGCGATGGTACCAGCCAAGAAACATTGTAGCCCTGAATGTAGGCCATCGAAACCAGTAGATTTCCCGGTCTTCAGATTGTTCAGAAGCCGAAGGACTACCTCTCTTAAGATGTGCACTTTGCTCTTTGTGAAATATTTTCGGGAATAAAAGTGTGAATAATAGCGTTTCCTCAGAGAGATATTCAGCTTTGGAAAGGTCATGCTCAGCCAGCTCTGAATCCCCATCTGACAACAAAAATGAACCCATATCTTAACGCTTTGTTCCCCTTCTAATGTATGTAAGCAACTGCTTTGGACAAACCCGACAGAAGACCCGAAGCAGCCTTTCGTAGTTCATTCTGAGCATTGTAACATGTGGGTGACACATATATATCCTTCACGTTGCAGCACGAAGTCTTGAGGGCCTTGCTACCTGCTCCTGAGAACAAATGCCAAAGATATCATCTCAAGACATTTTTGCAACGTCGTGGAAGGCGGTGAGAATGCCTACGTAGGGTTAACCATGTGGTAAACGAGGAATCTGCGCCATCCAACTTGGCTCTAAATTTTCTCAAGATGCCTTTACAGATATATTGTTGTCCACAGTACACTCCAGTGTGACTGCATACCGTCCGGTAGCCGACGTATTTGCGCCCTGTGCTATCCAGGGGAGACGGGATCATAAACCAAGTCGTATGTGCGAAGCTTGAAAAGCAGCACTAGGTAGTCGTGTTTCGCTAGTGGAGGTTGGTTTCCGAGTCCAGCTTCTTCATCACTTTATTATTTCGAAACCAAATGTGGGGGGACGGCTTATGCTGTAGACCAAAATGGGCTGTGTTAATGATGTTTTGAGCCGCAACACCCTCTAGAACTGGGCGCTATCAATGCAGTTGCTGAAAGTTGCAGACATAACCCCTGAGGTTAACGCGAGATGCACTTATACTGCTCATTATCAGGAATCCGTTATTATTACCATGTTCACGTGTACTAGTCAGGACGAAGCCATTTTTTGTGCACCATGCACCTCCGATTTTGACTGCATCATCAAGTTAACTGATGTCATGGCTTATTGAATCGCTTTTTTGTTTTCATTTGCTTCCGTGTAAGTCAACCATCTATTTAAGTCCTCGTGAATGTGCAGTAAAACTCCACCCTTGCGACCTAATATTCTACAAGCCACAGGGACACTCGTTTCTTCGGTTTGTCCTTGAGAGGCCAGTTCGGATGAAAGCCCATATTCAAGCCACATGCCTTGTGCATGTGCCCAGAATAGTATCCATCTATCCTCCATTTCCTAGCAGCGCTTTCAATGTCCTCCGTGAATTAGGTTCAACTTTGAAGAAAGAATTATGCGCTGCCAGCGATATCCACGAGACATTGTGCACTTACAATTCTGAGCACCAGGAAGATTAACTTGTAGCCGAAGTCATACAAATGGCAAATGATTGTTTCTTTGAATCTAACTCTGTGCTGTTGTAAAACGCTTTCTGTGAAAGAGGATTGGGGTTTAAACTTCACGCTTCGCGTTGTAAATCTAGCGAATGAGTGTCCCCTACCTCTATGTTCTGCTGGTCGCAAAGTGCTCCTTGCTCGGACCATGCTGTTATTCCAAAAACCCCGGTGATATTTGTCACTGTCACTCAGTTATCTTTCAATATTTTCACTGCTCAAAGTTTCTAAGTCCAAAGGAAGCCTCGTTACCATTAGCCATCTGTACCACAGGACTGTGTTCTAAAGCTCACGCATCTTAACCGTAGATGAGTTATCGTGGATCTTCGTCCGCGCCCTCTAACGGTCTGCTCATAAAAAGTACTCCAAATGACCTTTATAACTGCAGTTCAAGAGATAAATTTCAGGATTTGGGAGATTGAGGGTGATATAATACATCGTGATCAATCTCCCGGGGCCCGCAGGCACTGTGCAGGCTGCGGCCGTATTCTAGGTGATCAAGACAGGGCCTGCACAGTACCCCACTCACTTTCTACGGGGCCGTTCCTTAGCCTATTACAGGTTGGAGTGCCTTTCATGCAAGGAGACATGAAAACCGATTTTCTCTTCAGGTGTGGACGAATCGGAAGCCTATACAGGGTTGTGGATGGAGCCATCCCTTGTTCTGTTCTATAAAGAAGCTCCATGACTCCCCAAGTTTTTTCGTTGAAAGGCGATAGCAAGAAGAGAAGGGAAATTTGCCAACAAAGTAACCTCTACGTCATTTTTGAATAAGTGAGTGAGTGAGTGAGTGAGTGAGTGAGTGAGTGAGTGAGTGAGTGAGTGAGATACTTGTTCTAGCTATGATATCGGTAGGAAATTCGACATACGCACCTCTTTAAATTCCTTTCTGAATTGATTCCCATCCAGCCGGAGCCAGTTATGATTAGTCTGATTCTAGATCCCAGATGAGTCAATCGGGAAGGTTGATGCGGCCGTTGGCTGACATACTTCCTGTCAAGTCCCAAAATCAGCCTCATCCTTGGTATTTTCGTAGCTCGCTGGTGAAAGGGTGAGACAGGATTTACCTTGTAAAAACTCCCAGGGTTTGTCCAGCATTCAGTTAAGAAAGATGTGGATATAACATCTGCAAAAGGGAAGGGAGCAGATAGCCCGTCTCCAAAATGTAATCTCTATCATGTTTCCGTTATTAGGTGCCTACAAGATTTCGTATCGCTGTTGTAAAATGCCTGCTGAGGACTTCCTACTGCTCCGATTGCTCAGGGTGTGGTTAATCTGTAGCGGCTAGAGACCCTGGCCTTGCTTCTCTGCACTGGCTGTGTTATTTTTGTTCCTTTCCGTGGATGTGTCTATTTTTGCCATCTCCACTTGGTCAACGCAGCCGCAAATTGAGTATAAACCCTACGTCTACCGCCTCCTAAAAGGATCGGCTACAGAATGTCGGTTCTACATTAGTTCTAGCCTACATACAAAATGCACAAGTAAGACTGGATAAGAGTGAAGGTGAGAGAATTTGATCAGCCATTGCAATTGGGCTACCTAACACTACGTTGGCATGCAAGCATTTTACATGGTCCTGACCAGCAAACGGGTGTTTACTCACCCATCTTGTGACCACTTTCGTAAAATAAAGTGGAGAAGGGATTGAGAAGGTAATTAGTGGTCACCAGACCCCGAGGATTTCACCACCCCCATGTAACCTAAAGCTTTACAGGAAATGTTTGCACGCTGTGATTTTTCTGAATGATGCTTCGTTAAGGAAGTTACGATGGGGCCATGTTTCATCACACGGATTCTAAACGTGTGCACAGGAATCTATTTCTTCATATATGTGCACCAATGGGGACCGCTAGGGGATCACGGCAGGTCAGCTGATTGATTTTTTGGCCCATTCGCATGCAGTGGAAAACAGAAGTTTTCAATTCCAGCATTGGGGTCGATAGACATTAGAGAAACTCCTGATGTGGTGCCAACAGCCAGTTCTGCAGCGGTGCACTATGCATCAGCCTTAACTGCCGAACGTTGAAACTATGCGCTACTTTTACACATGATCGTTGATTGTATTTTTGTCGATTTCTTGTTGTGCTTAGCTCATTATTCCTGTATACATATAGTAGTATAACGATACATTCTGTCTGGATAATTTAAGGCTACACTGTTATATATAGACAGTGTATTCCCATCCTTTTAGACTGCATACATTACCGTCAGCTGCACGTCTCACTTAAAACCTCTTATAGGAATTGGACGGTCGAAAGC